GCTTCACATTTTACTTTTCCATATACCTGCAACAAACTAGCTTTTATCTGTCTTTTAAATAAATACATAGATCTGACATTTTTAAGATCAGCCTCCAAAATGTACAAAACTAAACAGCCTACAGTGTTTTTACAGTCTTTATTTTACAGTTGAAATATATGTTTATAAAGTAAACTCTAATGTTACAACTAATCTTGGATCCCTTTAAGACATGACTACGTCTCTGAAGCTCTAATGGGCCACATTTGGCCTGCGGACCTTGAGTTGGACACACCTGGATAGGGCTGCAGGATATTATTGACGTGTTGTTGTCTTTGTTGTCACGATGATGATACATTGTGTGTGTTTCTTCTGTCCTTCTCAGCGTTTGATAAAGGAGGAATGGGAGAAGGAGCAGAGGAGAGAACAGGAGCAGAGGGAGCAGAGGCAGCAGGAGAAGCGGGACAGAGAGGTGAAACGGACTCCAGGAGGATAAAACTAAAAGAAATATATCCTCTGCTGCTTGGATTCATTAATGATTGTAAAGAAATGTTTCCTTGACTGAGCGGYAATCTTATTCCTCCTTAACTAAGATCCACCTAAAGAGAAAGAGGCGTTCAGCTCTCAGCATGGATGTATCTTTTACTTTGGTCCTGACCCACAGTAAACTGATCCCAGCTCTTCAGTTTATCCTTGTTTTATGTTTGACTCTGGTCAGCGAGCTCTTAACCCACCAGAACAGATCCGCTGCAGTCTGTTGACCRCTTCACTTTTTCACCTGCCGTCTGTTTGACCATTTGTAGGAGGCTGTTCAGAAAATGTTGGACGAAGCTGAAAATCAGGTAGAAACATCAAACGGTTGAAAGTTAAAGCCTGGTAGGAGGCTGGAAGCTAAAGCAGACGGTGTGTTTCTACGTTCAGCTGGACAAAAGAGGACCCTGGATGAACCCGGAGGCTCCTGCTGCCGTGAACTCTGAGAACTTTGGGACGGAGCGCGACGTGGCCAACTGTCCCTTTTTCCTTAAGACCGGAGCGTGTCGCTTCGGAGACAGGTACGCTTTGATGTGGGGGTCTCACTGTTGGGGTGTCACAGTCTGCAGCCTAGGGTCCGCTTCMTTCAGTCCTGATCCAACCCTCAGGACCACAGGAGAGACGAAGCAGCAGATTCGGGGGCTCCAGCCCCCCTAAAATAGGCCTAGTGACGCCACTGGCACTGAAGTCCTCCACCTGATCCAACAGTTTTATTCATTATTATTTATCTGTGTGCTTTTTAGTCCTGGACATTTAAATACAGCTCTGCAGATCAGATTGGAGACCCCCAGAACAAAACTCAGATGGATTTAAAGCAGGGATATTCAACTGGTGGCCCAGTTGAGCCCCCCAAATTAGCAGTTATTTTTAAATTAATTAATTAATTTTTTTTTTTGGTTATAATTTGTATTTTTTTTAATTAATCTAAATATAGATTTCAAACGATTTGTAAATTTAAAATCGATGTTTCAGTGCAAAAAAAAAAAATTTTTCAACCTGAGGCCCGTGGGCCACTTCCAGCCCACGGTTGACCATGGCCCCAGAGTGATCTAGTTGAACAGCCCTGGTTTAAAGTGTCTGACAGAGTTTATCTCTTTGATCCACTCACAGAAGGACGATCTGTTTCCTCGTGAACTCTGTTCATCAACCTTCAGCCCAGTCAGAAACCAGACTTTAAAAAAAGTATTTAATTTAAGTTCTCCTGCTGAATCCTTCCATCGTTCTCTCTGGGTGCAGGTGTTCTCGGAAGCACATCTACCCGGCCTCCAGCCCCACGCTGCTGGTCCGCGGGATGTTCGTGACGTTCGGGATGGTGGAGTCTCGGCGGGACGATTACGACATGGACGCTTGCTTGGAGCATAGCGAGGAGGACCTGCACGAGTCCTTCCTGGACTTCTACCACGATGTTCTGCCCGAGTTTAAGAGCGTGGGCAGAGTGGTGCAGTTCAAGGTGAGGAGGGRGAGAAGCCCCCGGTCCAGTGTTCAGGAAGACTTTGATTAATTCCACTGAAACGTGTCTGCTCTCAGGTCTGCTGCAACCACGAACCACACCTGAGAGGAAACGTTTACGTTCAGTTTGCCACGTGAGTCAGCTTCTGATCAACGTTCTGCTCAGCTTCTGCTCAACCTCTGTAACTCTGAGTYGTTTGTCTCTGGTGTCCTGGACAGAGAGGAGCAGTGCAAAGAGGCTTTCCTCAGGTTCAACGGCAGGTGGTACGCCGGGCGGCAGCTTCAGTGTGAGATGTGTCCCGTCACCCGCTGGAAGAGCGCCATATGTGGTGAGTTCAGCTTCTATCTTTGAAAAGTAGATGAAGACTCCAAAGAAATGGATCTGTGCTCRCTCCCCTGGTTTTTCAGGGTTCGAGTGGATCCTTAAAAAGTCTTAAAAGGCATTAAAATCATCCATCCAATAATAAGGTCTTAATTAGCCTTAAAATGTCTTAAATCAGTCTTTCAGAGGTCTTAATATGTTAACARTAGGACGATTGTAATTTATCTCAAATATTAAAGTACATTACATAACATTTACTTTTTAATAATTTACAAAATGCCTCTCACAGCTCGTTTAGTGTTAAAATAAACATTTGAGTAAAACTGTTGCAGCTTTTTCTTTTTTAGTATATTGTGAAGTTGACCTTAAATTTCATTTCAAGTGGCATTAAAGAGGTCTTACCAACCAACTGTAGACCACCCAACCAACAATAGACCAACCAACAATAGACCACCCAACCAACAATAGACCAACCAACCAACAATAGACCACCCAACCAACCAACCAACAATAGACCACCCAACCAACAATAGACCAACCAACCAACAATAGACCACCCAACCAACCAACCAACAATAGACCACCCAACCAACAATAGACCACCCAACCAACAATAGACCACCCAACCAACAATAGACCACCCAACCAACAATAGACCACCCAACCAACCATAGACCACCCAATCAACAGTAGACAACCCAACCGATAATAGACCACCTAACCCAGCCATCCTGAGACCCTGGAAGGTTTCTTTAAAGGTTTTAGACTTCATGAACCATTATTGAAAATATCAAAACCAGTTTGTTACAATGGGGTGGGGGGTAGCTGGGAATGTGATCATTAAATCTAGAACATGGACCACATTTGAACTTCCTGCACCTTAAGTCTGGTCCCTCCAACGCCTGCAGACCTCCATCAGGTCAACGACAGAACAAACACCTGACTGTCTGGTGTGGATCCACCTGATGATCCACCTGAAGAGAGTCATCATTTAACCACTTCCTGTTTTCTCCCTCTCATCAGGACTGTTTGACAGACAGAAGTGCCCCAAAGGCAAAAACTGCAACTTCCTTCACGTGTTCCGAAATCCTGGTAACGAATTCTGGGAGGCCGACCGGGACCTGCAGCTCTCCCCCGACCGCAGCGTGAGGGGGAGCCGGCGAGACGAGCGGCGAGACGAGCGGCGAGACGAGCGGCGAGACGAGCGGCGAGACGAGCGGTTCAGCGAGCGGTCCTGGAGGAGGCGGCGCTACAGCCGGAGCCCGGAACGCTCAGAGAGATCTCACGTCAGGAGCAGGAGGAGCAGGAGCAGGAGCAGGAGCTCCCACCGTCACAGAGAGGACACTTACACGTCCAGATGGAGACACGGGGACAGGAGGACAGAGAGACGCAGGAGCGGAGACAGGCTGAGACATGACAGTAGAGACAAACACAGGGACAGGTCTGAAGACGAGGACACGGACAGAGAGACCAGGTCCAGAAGCATCAGCAGAGAGAAGAAAAAGAAACGAAGCAGAGAAAAGAGCTCCGAGAGAACTGGAAGCAGCTCCCGCCATCGACACAAACACAAGAAGAACAAGAAGAACAAGAAGAAACACAAGAAGAAAAGCCCCACAACCTCATCTGCTGAGTCAGCACATGAGGACGAGCCAGAGCCAGAGTCTGGAGACGGGACGAGAACCCAGGAGAGCCAGGAGAACCAGATGAGCCAGGAGAACCAGGCTGAGCACGAGAACCAGGAGAACCAGAACCAGGTTGACCAGGAGAACCAGATGAACCAGGAGAACCAGGCTGAGCACGAGAACCAGGAGGGCCAGAACCAGGTTGACCAGGAGAACCAGGCTGAGCACGAGAACCAGGAGAACCAGAACCAGGTTGACCAGGAGAACCAGGCTGTGCAGGAGGATGTAAGGTCAGAGGAGAAACAGGAAACAGAAACATTGACCCTTCAACATAAAACATATCCACCTGTTCAGATTAAATAATCCAGATTACTGCAGATTAAAGATGTTACACTGATATTCCAGTCAGTACTTCAGCCTGAAATACTTTTACTCATAAAAACAACCCAGTACTTTGTACTGATCCCACTGTTATTGTCTGTGACATCACTTCCTGTTTGTAGATATTTTAAGATTAACACAAACAGTCTGCTGTGTTCTGAATAAAGAAATATATTTCTACAGTTATTATGTGATATTTAAATATTAACTCAACTACGAGTACACAAACTGAAGTACTTGTACTCTGAAATGAACTCATATCACATCTTTAGGAAAAGCAGAAAATGTTACTTTGTTTCGGCTACTTGGAAAGTCAGATTTCAGGAAGTTATCACCTGCTGGTGTAACCGATGTCTGTTAGCAAAATATTTAATGACTCAATGAACACTTCAGAATAAAACTGTAATCACTGGGTTTACAACTGATGAATCTGTGGATTAGAAGGTCGCTAATTATTAGCAAACAGCTAAAGTGTTCATGAGTCCGTGTTACAGATGAGCTAAAACCTGCTGTGGTAGTAGCTGAGAGTCCTCTAACAAACACTCTGAGCAGCAGGGCACTCATTTTACTGTGGACATTTAAAAAAACTAATATTTGAACTAAATGCAACAGATATTTGTAATAATCTGAGGGTTTCGGCTCATCTCAACATGTTTATTGATGATTATTAATAATTGGTCAATAATTGGAAACAGTTTTCTTGAACACATTTATTGTTTCAAATATAACAAAAGTTAAAAACAAAATGACTTCATCATGAATGAAATGTGAGTTTGTTCAATAATTAGTTTTTATTCATAAACTCCTGTTTTATTTACTGTGAAATAAAGAAGTGATGATTTGTTCTAAACCAGGAGAAACATCCACAAACAGAAAACAGATCAACTGTTCAAC